GTTTTTTCTATGTTTTTTGTGTTCTGGCTTTTTCGGCTTCCGGACGCTCCAAGACGGCCCAAGAGGCCCCCAAGACCGCTCCAAGACGGCCCACGAGGCTCCCAAGACGGCCCCGGAACGGCCCAGGAGGGCCCCCAAGACGGCCCAAGTGCCGCCCAAGACGGACCAAGAGGCCCCAAGACGGGCCCAAGAGGGGCTCAAGAGGGGAACCGAGAACTGAAAAATCGAGCCCTCCGCCCCAGAAGGCGCCCAGGAGGCCCCAAAAAGGCCCCAAGAGGCCCCCAAGAGGCCCCCAAGACGCCCCACGAGGCGCCCAAGAGGCCCAAAAGAGGCCCCAAGAGGCCCCAAAACGGCACCCAAGAGGCCCCCAAACTCGGCTAGCCCACAACGGTGCGACAATATGGGCCGGCGGAATGAGCGAAGCGATTAAATACATGGCGACTCTGGTGCATCAAGACGACCGGCGAATGGCGTCAGGCGACGCAATGCGCTACAGTTGAATGCATAGATCCCAGCGCTGTCGCGCAGATAGATCGAGACTGGCACCAGACCACGCCGCAACCCCCAGGAGACCTGGGCTGCCACAACTCTGGCAGGTTCGACGTCCGCGCCCGCCTTGATGCCTGGGGCCTCGGCGATACCACCGGACATTGGCGCCAAAACCGCAACTCCAGCAGAAAAACGATCAGCTTCCGCTCTGATGGCGGGCGAGAACGCCCAATGCTATCCCGAGTCCCTGAGCGATTGCTGCAAACTTATGTCACTGAAACTAACCAATAGCATTCTTAACGCCCTCCACCCACCTTTCAAGGACCTGCAGCACCCGCGTTGACCGCGACGACGCGGCCGACGACCTGCATCCAATCGAACACCATTGCCACCACAGATAGCATACATCAAATGACAAACCCACAACAAAGAGTAGGCCTGGAAGCTATTGAACTTGCTGAAGCCTCTGAGATTGACGAGCTTGTGGCTGCTTCGCGTATCTCCTTCGCACCTTCCATGTCACATGAAATCCCCGCCGCATTGGGCACAGGTTTGAATTCATCGGAGTCAGCAGCAACAAGCGAACAGCCATCGCCTTCAGCGGCTGCGGGAGCAGGAGCGGGTATTTTTTGTGGTGCCGGTGGAGCATCGGGCTGCTCAGGGACCTGGACGCGTGGCGCTAGCCCGAAAGCCCCGACCACCTCAGTTAGCTCAGCATGTATATTGCTAGGCAACGCTTCGGCAACCCCCTCCGCCATCGACATGGCCGCATCAACTCCCCCAAGCTGCGGTAAAACTTCGAGCTTCGTTGCGTCCGACCCAATAGCTGCCACAGTATCACCAGGCTTGGGAGGAGGGACGCTGGCCTGCTGCGCCACCTCGAGATGCTGGGCTCGCAAATCCACCAATGTAAGGTTATTTTCCTGGATGGCGTCCTCCACCTTAGCCAACTCGGCCTGCACAGTTTCGATCGATGTCCTGTTTGTGCTTCTCCGAGCGCAACTCCTGTTTGGACTTTTGTTTCTGGACTGTCTCAATATGTCTGGAGATGGCGAACATCTTGGCGGTGGCGGGCTTTTGGCTGTTGATCCTGCCCTGAAGCAAGGCCCGCCCATCAGACAATGTCTTGATAAGGACTTTCCAAGCTTCCCCAGACGCCTTGCTCGACGAGCCAATCTGCCCGTCGAGCTCGATAATTCGACTGTCATCATATGCTTCATGTGCCAAGCTATTGTTCTCACCTGGATTGGACTCAGCACGCTCAGGCCTCAACCCTTCAGCCAGAACGGCTCAAGACTAGAGCCAAATTGGCAACGGACGGCACACGGAAGAAGGAGGAGGAGGAGAAGCAGGGGAGGGAGGGAGGGAGGGAGAGAGGGAGGGAGGGGAAGCTGAAGACAAGAGAAGGAGGCGTACCCAAACGAGAACGTCGATTACACTTCTGGTGTCGAAGCGTCTTCGATATGAACCCTGGCGCCCCTCGGTCGAGGGGGAAAGAAGAAAGAGGATGAAGGAAGGGAGGAGGAGGGAGGACGGACGGAGGAGGCAGGAGGGAGGAGGCGAGGAGAACGGAGAGGGGAGGTGAACGCAAGCGATTGGGTCGATTACACCTTAAGTTACCACTGAAAACTCCAGCATAAGAAAACGCACTCTGGAATAATCGTTTTCTGAATTACTGGCCCAGGCCTAGAAAATCGAAAGCTGCGCATGTATGGAAACACACTCAACATACAACACGTTTCTCGGCGGTGTCGTTCTCCATAGTCCGATGGCTACCCTGGAATCCAGATGTCCTTATTGAAGAAAAGAAAACTCACACTCTGATCTGGAAGCTGCATTTTCTTAGTGAATCTTTATGGTTTGCACTTCTGGTGTCGCTTCGTGCTCGAGAGCGAATCGACGTGCCCATGTAATGTTCCAGCGGCGACCGCACGGCCAAGGAAACCGGACCTTGCCAGTACCGCAATGGCCTGCGGCTACCGCGCTAATGTGCAGTAAGTCGCTGGTCCCTGCCAGCACCCCAGAAGCGCGCGAGCGCCGCAGGTTGCTTGCAAGCATCAACTGTGCGCCTGTGAGCGACACGCTAGCCCGTGAGCGCCACGTCATGCCTGTGAGCACCACGGCGTCCCTGCGAGCACCACAAGCGAGTGAGCGCCACGTTTGCCGGCGAGTGCCACAATGTGCCTGCGGGCAACACAGCACGCCTGCGATCGCCAAAATAGCGTGAGAGCTTCACAACGTAACCCATGCGGCGGCCAGCGTGAAATGATCTGGGGGTAGCGATCGGGGGACATGACGTGCTTAATGCCTCCCCGCTGATACAACAAAAACACTCTAATCAATCCTGAGCGCCGCGCCATTGCAGAATAAAACAATGCAAGCGCACACCTCGCAGACTCCAAATAATCTCAAGGAGGCACCAGGATCAACCTTTGCTCGGGGAATCCGCAGGAATAATTTTGGCTTCAAGAGAGTGCCTACTACCAAACTGCTATATGGCACAGTGTGGCGACAGAAGGGCAACAACATCGATCGAATGAAAACCTTGCGAGCTTGATGCGCCAACTGGGAGAAGAGGAAGGAGAGGATAGGGAGAGATAGTGGAGGGGATCAGACGCGGGGAGGGAGACCGACTAGCGCAGAGCGAACAAACGCATCGCAGAGTTCAATCACGCAGGCGGTTCAAGCAGGCGGCGGAGATCCGCCAGCCCTCCAGCGGGAGCCCTGCAGCTGCGCGGATCAGGTCGCCAAAGCAACAAAACAACGCAACATCACTGACAGCATCGCAGCAGCGATTACTTGGGTTGTACTCACTCAGGCCTACAAACTTCGGAACTTCGTCTCTCCGCCTGTTCGGAACGCGCGCGGCTCGCCCGAGGTCTGAACCAGCTATGGGATCCCCAAAACGTTTGCCTTGGGTCATCCGTCCCACTGGCTGGCGCTTGCTCGCGTATCCGAAACATTCCCTCGATGTGCTCCCGAGGCCACCGAACAATTTGTGCCTCAACCTCAATCCGCCCAGAGGCGTAAAACGCGGTAGACATACGCCCTCAACGCCGCGATCCCCCATAAAGTCTGCTTCGGGCACAACGGGAAGAACTTCCGCAATCACGTATGCTGCTGCTTGCGGCTGCACTCTGCTGCTGGCTGCCGCTTGTGCTCATCTTCGCGCCTCCTGGGGACTCTCTTGGGGCCTCTCGTGCGCGTCTTACAGCCCCTTTGGAGCCTGCTGGGCGGTCATGCGGCGTTTTGAACCGTTGAGGGGCCATAGGGGCGTTTTGACCCGTTGTGGGGCACTCTGGGGCTGTCTAGAAGCTCTTTAGGGGCCCCTCCTGGGTCGTGCTGGAGGGCCCCCTGGAAGCTTGGTGGCATCATGGAGCCCTCTTCCGGCATGTTGTCGTGCGCTCGGGGCCCTCCTGTCCTGTATTGAGGGCCTCTTGGGCCAAATTGGGTCTTTCGCGGTGCCCTCTTGGGCTGTCTGAGACTGCCGCTGGCTGGATTGAGCCGGCCCTGGGCCGCACGGACACTGTCTTGGTGCCCAGTATTGGGCCACTGCGTAGAAAATCTCGGTCCGAAAAGCTGCGGCACCAAAAACGTGTGAAACTTCTATGGTTTGTTTATCAAGCTGTTCGGCCTTATGGAAGACCTTTCTGAAATCTCGTCTGTTGGGCGGCCTCGGAGAGCGTCTTTGATGCATCATCTTGGAACCGTTTTGGGTGCTATTGGCGCCCACTGGGAAGTATGAAGCCGGCTGGAAACATCTGGGGACACTATGTTGGCAATCCTGGCGCGCTTCGAAGGTCAAAGAGGCGCTGGAGCCGCCAGATGGGAGAGAGGTAGCGGTTCCGGGATCCCTGATAATTCTCCACACAAATAGATCTACACCATACTGCGCACACGCGCACGGGAATATACACGAATACGCCAATATCTATGCCATCACGGCCACAGGAGCGCCACACTCGGAGGAAATGCCATTGGACGACGGAAATGCCATTGACAGACAAGTGTAAAACAATACATAGCACAAGGCGCAAGAAATTAATCACAAACGAGAACACGGACACTACGTATGCTAAGAACGGCATGGCAACAGCAGCAGCATCAGCAGTAAAGACGCGACAACGAGCCTCCGACCATCTTGTCCACAGCTCGGCCAGGAATGGCGTATGACCCCTCGGCACATCTTTCCGGTGACTGCGGAAGCCCAAACGCATGCCGCCAAAGCGGGGCCCAAAAGCGTTTCCCACATCAAGCTGCGAAGACACGCGGGTCACGGGCAGGTCGCGGCGGGTCGCACACAGGCGGGTCGCGTGCTGTGTTTTTTTTCTGTACTGGCTTGCAGCAGAACTCAATGAGGCTGCACGGCTTGCGCAACGAGCTACTGGTCCACAGCACTCGCCCGCACACGCTAAATGGCGCGAGCTGCAAATGCCAAATGCAATGCCTACGCAAATGAACAGATAATTCCGTTGGATCTTCCGCCAGATCCCGAGAAATATGAGTTGAGATCATTTGGTGTGAGTGAAGCGGCAGTTGTCGCCATAGTTGCAGTTGCCTGCTTGGAACTGACGGCACATCCCGCCCCCACCTCCACCGCCTTCCTTGCCGTAGCCCTTGCCACTGGTGGCAGCCGGTGGCTCGGGGACAGGAGGGTTCAATCGCCTCTCCTTCTCCAACTCTGCCTCGTGCTCCCGCTCCTTCTGCTTGATGGCCTCTTTTTTCAAACGAGATTTCTCCTTTTTCAGCCGGGCGCGTTCTGCCTCATCTGCGGCCGCTGCGGCTGCAGCGGCAGCAGCGGCGGCCTTTTTCTCCTTGGCCGACACTGCGACCTCCGGCACTTCATCGCCACCAGCACCTTCAGACGGCGCAAGAAACTGGTCAAGCTCTTCCGAGTGGCGCTCTCTCATCTCAAAGATCCACTGGTCGACCTCGCGCTGAGCCGCTTCGATCTTCGCCAACTTTCCTTTGCCTGCTGGAACTGCGTCCACATGAGCACGTCCCTTGGCCTCAAGCTCTGCCTCTTCGCGCGCGTGGCATTCCTCAAGCTCCTCCTTAGTAGCAGCAGGCGCCATAAAGAACAAATAGTTAGATGATACACGAAGCGTCACCCCTCTGAGTCAAAACTGCTCGAGTCAACCCACTTGAGCCACAATGGCTACGAAAAGTTGGGCCGCGTACAGTTGGAAAACGTCGGCACTCGTGCTCCATTGGAACTGTTTGCGCTCGTCAAGTGGCTCTGCAAGACTGCTGACTCGCTGGTCTGTGGTGGCTGCCGGTTGCGCCTGTGGCTGTGAACGCCAGAGCGGCGATGCTGCTGGAGGTCGCTTGCACATAAACCCTAATTCTAATTTGTGTATTGCCGCTCCCTCTGTCGCTCCTCGATGCTCCCATGATTGATGTCGCGGAGGTTGCAGCGTCTTGGTGCCATCACGGGCGATGCAGACCGAGGCTTGCAGCCTCCCGTTGCAGGGAGCATCGACTGGACTCGTTTGGGCGCTTTCTGGACAGCATATCGCCGTTTCTTCCTGGGGAAAACTCCCAGCAACAATCTGCCTCCTTCCGCTCATCGACCTCACCCTCCCTCCTCCCAATTCTTCTTCCTTATAGAACACTCCCTGTCGCACCCACAGGTGCGTCGGCAGAGTGGGCCGGACGTTTCGCCTAAGTCTCCTCGGACTCGGACTCGAACCTGCAAGTGTCGCCAGCGCGGGCGTCGCAGGTGGGCGCCGTAGCGCCGGGTATGTAATTGGCTGGCACGCACACGTTACTACTACAAGCATGACGATGTACAAAACTACGACAAGCATGTGGCAGACACACACGGAACCATTGGAATTCCTGAATGAGACTGCTACCGCCGAAGACTCCCTGCCCATCGATGATCCTGAAGCTTAAATTACCCCAGTGCGACCCTACCTAGAAGTTGGAGCCCCTAGGAAACCAGCATTAGTTGCTATGCTACGTTATGCCATGCCATGCTATGCTGCGCTATGCTATGCTATGTTATGCTATGCAATGCTGCGCTATGCTATGCTGCGGCATGCTATGCTATGCTATGATATGCTATGCGATGCTATGCTACGTTATGCTATGTCATGCTGCGCTGTGCTATGCTAAGCTATGATATACTATGCTATGCTAGACTGCGCTATGCTATGCTATGCGATGCTATGCTATGCTATGATTTGCTGCGCTAGGCTATGCTATGCTATGCTATGCTATGCCTGGCTATGTTATGCTATGCTATGCTATGCTAATGCAGCGCTGCGCTATGCTAAGCTAAGCTAAGCTAAGCAACGCTAAGCTAAGGGGACGTAACTGGGGGAACCGCGGGGCGGATACTGGGGGAACCGCCCGGGGCGAGCCCCACTGCCCGGCCCCTGTAAGAAAGAGAGTAAGAACCCTCTAGGCAGAGCCTAGGTAGGGAACTTTGCAGCAATTTCAAAAATGGAGGGCGGGTCCGGTCCAAAATGTGGCTCTCGCCAGAGCGCCGTGCCAAGTTGTCTTAAAAAATTGCAGCCGTTTCGCGGAGGGAGGGCGGGTGGTTTTCAAAATGTGGCTCTCGCCTTGGCGCAGCGAAACTTCGTCTCAAAAGTTGGCAACAGCCTGAAGGATTCGCAGGGTTGAAATCACAGGAATGGAGTTCTGGCACAGCTTAAGATTTTCAGGACGCAGGGGTCACCTTGATTCGCGGTGCTGACATCCCAGGAACGGCTTTCCGACACGATTCAGGATTGTCAGGACGCAACAGTCACGTTGATTCGCTGCGTTGAAGTCCCAGGAACTGTGTTCTTGGCATGTGTGAAGACTCTCAGACGGTTGCCTTTTGTATGGGCAGTTCCAGCAATTAAGATAAAGTCTTGTAGGGACCAATGAAGTGGGAACATAGAGGTGGGTATTCCAACATCGTTGACGCGTCTTGGGCTTACATTGGCCCTCCTCCTCCTCCTCCTCCTCATCATCATGATCGTCATTATCATCCTCATCACGATTATCAACATCACCCGTCATTATCACCCTCAGCAGCATCATATTCGTCGCCGTCATCATCACCACCACCGCACTCATCATCAGCGTGATCAGCATCATCATCATCAGCATCGCCATCATCATCAGCATCGACATCATCATCACCAGCATCATCATTACCATTATCATCATCATGATCATCACCATCAGCATCAGCATCAGCATCATCATCGGCATCATCATCAGCATCATCATCAGCATCATCAGCATCAGCAGCATCATCATTACCAGTATCATCACCGTGATCATCATCATCATCATCATCATCATCATCATCATTATCATCATTATCATCAGCATCAGTATCAGCATCAGCATCAGCATCATCAGCATCATCACCATCGTCATCATCATCAGCATCATCAGCATCATCGTCATCATCATCATAATCATAATCATCAGCATCATCATTATCATCATCCTGCCGCTCCTCCTCCTCCTCATCATCATCATCATGACCATCATCCTCCCCCTCCTCATCATCACCATCCCAGCTCCACTGTCTTGTCGACTTCCCCCGGGGGCCCTCATGACCGCCAGCGCCTCTGGCCTGCTGCAGGCCCCATCCCCCCCGAGGGGGCACCAAAGAGGGGAGGAGAGCCGCGCCGCTGCAGCCAAGCAAAATGGAGGAGCCCACAGCGCGGCCCCCGCCCGGCCCCTCTCGCCACTCCTCCCCGCTGCGAGCTTGCCCAACGCGGAGCCTGCGTGGCCAGAGGCCTGTAGTGCTGCTGCGCTGGCCCCGCCCCAGCGGGCAGCCTGGGGGGTCGGCCCCAACAGGGGGGGCAGGCCGTGCATCCCTGCTAACCTTCAGTATCCTCGTGCCCTGGGGCTTCTGATCCTGCCCCTGCTGATCCACCTGCCTGCTCCTGCTCCTGCTGCTCCTCCAGCGGCTCATCTCGGGCAATGGGCCCCGAGTTGTGGACGGCAAACTTGGGAATGGCAATGCCGACACGGGTCATGAATGCAGGTGGAACCCAACGCCATCACCTACAGCGCTGTGACGGGGCCCTGCCAAGATGTGCAGCTGCACGGCGGCCCCGAGCAGCTCCGGGATTTCCGCACGAATGCGCAGACGGGCACCCGATCAGCAAAGCAGGGGCAGCAGGGCGTCAATCCAACAAGGCGGGCGGTAGCGGCAAGCGGGGGCACGTAGCAGAGCCCAGAGTCTCCAGCTGCAGCGGTCGGGCCAGGGCGCGCGAGCAAGGCGGGCAAGGAACATGCAGATATCGCCGCGTGCAATACAGCAAGCCACGACAGAAAGGGCAGTAGCCGCCAGCAACAGGACGAAACGTCATCAGCTACAGCACGCAGGCCGCAACGTGCGAGAAAGGCATGCAGTGGCAGCAAGAAGCCACTGCCGCGTGCGAGCCCGCTTATGGCAGTATCATAAGCGAGAAAGAGAAAGAGGGCAGCAACGCCCCCCCCCCCACCCACCACCCCCCCGACCGCGGCGCCAATCGCGTGGCAACGGAACTGGATATAGCCATAGTCATGTAAGTCGTACTCCTTTTCCTTATCACGCTCACCACCGTCATCACCATCAACATCGCCATCGCCATTGTCACCATCAGCATCACCATCATCACAGTCATCAGCGTCGTCATCATCATAAGCAGCATCATCATCCTCACCATCATCATTAGCAGCAACATCAGCAGCATCGTAATCGCCGTCGCCGTCGCCAGCATCGCCAACATCATCAACATCACCATCACAACCACCACCGTCATCAGCATCAGCATAAGCATCATCATCAGCATCAGCAGATCATTATCAGCATCATCATCACCATCGTCAGCATCGTCAACTTCTTAACGCAGCTGGCGGTGCAGCGAGCCCGAGACATCATCATCATCATCATCATCATCATCATCATCAGCAGCATCATCAGCAGCATCATAATCATAATCATAATCAACATCATCATCATCATCGTCATCATCATCACCATCATCAGCACCATCACCACCACCAGCATCACCATCATCATCACCATCATCACCATCATCACCACCTTTATCAGCATCAGCATCAGTATCATCGTCATCATCATCATCACCAATCTGCAACATCATCAACTGCACCGTCATCTTCGGCATCATCACCCTCAGCATTGTCCGCATCATCATCCTCGCTGATGGCATTGCCACTACCATCGGCATCGTCCCCAGCAGCATCAGCATCATCATCACCATCAGCCTCCGAGTCACCATCATCAGCGGCAGCATCACCAAGCATCTCGCTCGCTCGCCCGCTCGCCCGGCAGGGTCGCAAGGCCTCGGCTGGTGCTCGCGCAGGAGGCCCAAGGGGGGGTGGGCGTCGAACGTTTTCACTTCCGCACCGCCGCAAATACAGTCGGGGCGTTGATCTAAGGAACCCTAAATATGGAACGAGGACCCTTTTTTCCATATGTTAAACTTCGATGTTCCATGGAAGACCTGAGGAAAACCCAAGGCAAACTGTCAAACAATCAAGGAACACCGAGCCCGCCCCAACGAAAAAGGGTTCCTTCTTCAGCGCCCCGACTGCAGTGCGAGCAGGCAGCGCCTACCCGTATGCAGATGGGGCAGCACCGCCCTGAGCCCAAATGATAACGGCGAGCAAACATGAAGCGCTCCCACCCTTGCGGCGTTACCTCAGTGGGGGGGGGCGTCGAATGTCTGGTGCCCTGTGAGGCTCCCATCCCCACGTGACATGGGCGGGACCCTGACGGGGCCAGCCTCGGAAATCCTGACGACATCAAGCTCAGCCCCTCTCGGGGGCTATCCCGACCCTCGACCCCCCGCTGTTTCAGGCAAACAACAATGGCAGGCGCGTCGGTCGTCGTCTCCTCTCCTCTCGTCGTTGCGCGCGCCGTCTCTCTCCCAGGTGCTTCTCTTCTCTCTTGTTGCCTCCCCTCCCTGATGTTTCTTCTCCCTTGCTCTCTCTTTCGGGGGCGCGCAAACATGGATTAGCGATCCATGGATTTGGCGCGCGGTCGCCAAATCCATGGATTGGGGGACGTGCTCCGTGCTCTCCTCAAAATGCGGCCGGTGCCGCCTCGCCCGGCGGCGGAAATCCGCGAGTTCCCGTGGAAATCGGACCCGTCGCTAATCCACGCCCCCTTGATTCATGTTTGCGACCGCCTGACTCTTCGTTCTCCTCGCTCCTCTGACGCTGCGGCGCCGAAGCGGGGGCGCGGCACCGCGCGCTGGACGCCGCCACCGCGGGCACCGCGGCGGGCCCTCGCAGCCGCGGCGGCGGCGCCGCCAGGCCCTCAGGGAGAGTCTGAAGAGAGCGGGATCTGGACACCTTCTCGAATAGGAGATCGACGGCGGAATTGATTGACTCCAGAATAGATCCTTTTTTCCAAGGCAACGAAATCACAACAACGCGGAGCCCCTTAAACGCGACCCGGGGGCGTAAAGCTCTCCAAACACCTGGCGATGGCCGAGCGTCTAATGCACACTGTGGTGCCAGTCATCTGATCAAAAGTTCTGCTGAAGTGCGCTGCCTGCTAAAGTTGTTCAGGCTTCCTTGTAAGAAGGAAGTGACTCCAGAATATACCATTTCGTCGAGCCCACACAAAAAACAAAGGATGCTCCGCTGGTTTAGGGGAAGTATCACTTGTTCGTTGTAGCCGACGAGAATTGAAATATGGGGCACATCAATTCTGTAATTAGTCGATCCCCTACTCGAACTTCAAGTTGGGAGTCACCCACAGCGGCCCCCAGGCCGCGAGAAAGGGCAGGGCGCATCCACGTCACACCGGTGATCCCCCCTTCCCCCGCCTCCTGCCGTTGCTGCTCCTCCCCCCGTGACCCCTTCTGCTCCTCCTCCTCCTCCCCCTCCTCCTCCTCCTCCTCCTGTCCCCCATGCCATGGCCACTCATCCTCCTCCAGGGAAGCAAGATTCCACCGATGGACACACGGGCATCAACAAAGCCCACTGGTCTCTGTGTACTACCCCAGACCTCGTTAACGAGGCTCTCAATCAAGGTGGCGTGAAGCAATCCACGCCTATACTTGCATCCAACCCCCATCGGCCTGCGCGTCTATCCGTACCTCCTCCCGATCATTCCCCTCATCCCTCCACCCCTTCTCCGTGCTTTCCAGCAGCTTGATGATGCGTACCTCCCCTGTCGACTACCAGAGGTGTCGGATGGAGAACGTGTCGTTTTCAAAATGTAGCTCTCGTCGTAGCGCCATTCAGATTAGCCTTCAACGTTTACAACAGCCTCTCAACCTCACGGGTTGAAGGCGGGGGGCTGTCAAATGTGGATCTTGACGTAGCGCCGCGAACATCCGTCCTCGAAGTTGACAGAGGCTACACGGACGGAGGGTCGGCTCTGCATCACATGGGGCTCCTGTTTGAGACCGCCTCGTGCTTTTGTACTACATGGAGAGGGGGGCCACAATCACACTAATTGAAGACGGTTCCTTTTCAAAACTGGGCCCATCAGAGGCTACGCTCCGATGCTGGCCGCCGCTTCCTTTGCAAAACGCGGCGCCAACATGCTTACGCACCTGGTGCGCTCGATTTCCCCCTTGCGAAATGGAAAGGTGTGCTGCAGCATCGTTGATACACGCTAGGGTTCCTCCTCCTCCTCCGCCTCCGCCTGCTCCCCATCCTCCTCCCCATCTCCTCCTGCTCCTCCTCCTCCTCCTCCTCCTCCTGCTCCTCCTCCTCCTCCTCCTCCTCCTCCTCCTCCTCCTCCTCCTCCTCCTCCGTCAACTGCTCCACGATGCTGCCGCTGCCGCTGCCGCTGCCGGGACCCTGCCCCCCACACGCAGGCATCGCGCCGCCGTCAGCGCGTGGCCAGGTGGTCGCCCTCCCGCGCCCCGTCGTCGCGCTGGGCCGCTGGCCCCGGGGGCGCGCGCGGGCCTCGCGGTGGTCACTGGGCGGCTCGGTGGCTGCTGTCAGCGCGGGGGCCTCGCTGCCGCGGTGTCGCTGGCGGCGACTCCTCGTCTCGGCCGCCGTCCGCGGGGTCGGCGCCCTCGAGGTCTGCGGCGATGAGCCCGGCAGCGGTCCCCAGCAGGGCAGCGAGCGTGTCCACGGAGCACTGAGCCGCGTCGCCCACTCTGCTCGTCGCCTCGCGCAGGAGTCCCTTGCGCGGCGGATGCAGGGCGGCGTGGGTGATCTCGTCCAGTGACACCTCCGGCACGAACATCATGGCCTCCGCCATGGCGTCCAGGTCCCGCAGAGCGAGCTCCATCATGAGCAGAAATGTTCCTACCTCGTTGGCGGTCTCCCAACCACCTGCGGTGTCGGACGGCATGGACAGCATCTCAGGCTCCTCCACAATCGCCTTGGCATCAACCAGCTTCTCTGCCGTCTGCCCCTGCGCCAGCCGCTGCACATTGCTTTTGCATTCCAGCGTCAGGGGCGCTTCCGTCTCGTGCATCATCACCTGGTGGGCCATGTCGAAGACCAGCTGGCGGCGCGACAGGAAAGCCTCCGCGGCCTGCTGGAACAGCGGCCGTCGCAGGAGCACTGCGACCGATTCCTTTCTTGGAGCACTGTCGGCTCGAGCCTCTGGGTTGGGCCTGAGGGCGTGGCTCAGCATCTTTCTCATGATCGTGGTGCGTACAGTGCTGCGGCCGTGGCGCTGCTCGGCTTCGTCCTTCGCACCTGTCTCATCGATGAAGTTGGTCTTGTGAGCGTTTTTTCATTCGCCGTTTCGACATTAGGCGGAAGGGGGGTGGGAGGGGGGGGGGTCTGGCTCCAGACCTCTGCTTAGTGCGACTGTTTGCAAGAGTGCGGCCTCTGGGGGAGACCCCACCCGCTTGAAACAGGCGCCCCAAAACAGCCAAGATCTACTCCAGGGGAAGGGGGGGGGATGCGAGTGCCCGCGCCGATCGGCAAAACAAGGAATGACAAAAACGATCACCTTCGCGGCCACGTACTCCATGATGGTCAGCTTCCTGAGGAGCTTGAAGGTGTGATGCAGCAGCTCTTGCCACAGTCCGTGGCGCCAGGGCGTGCGCACGAAGCGCGGCTCCAGCTCCGCCTCCGCGCCCCGCGCCTCGGCAGCCTTCGACTTCGAGAAGAGCGCGTCCCGGTGCAGCTCGACCTTGTGAGCGATTTTTTTAATGTTCGGCGTTTCGACATTGAGTGGAAGGGGGGGAGGGGGGGGTCTGGCCCCAGACCTCTGCTTAGTACGACTGTTTGCAAGAGTGCGGCCTCTAGGGGAGGCTCCACCCGCTCGAAACAGGCGCCCAAAACAGCCAAGATCTACTCCATGGGGAGAGGGGGAGGGGGGGGGCGAGGGCCCGCGCCGATCGGCAAAAAAATGAATAAAAAACTATCACCTTCACGCCCGTGTCTGGATCCAGGAGCTGCGCCAACGCCTGGTGCGCAAGCTTCCCGGCCTCGTGGTAGGCGTCGGTCGCCAGTTGCGATGGTGCTGGTGGCGCCAGGACGAGGTCTGCCACCATGCAGCAGACAATTGCTACCACCTGGTCCACCAGGGCCTGGTACACCTGCCAGGGCGAGTCCGAAAACCCATCGCAAGCGGTGAGCACCTGCATCGCCCCGAACGTGGCGATCAGCAGGCCAGTGTACCAGAAGCTCTCCGACGAGAAGTAGAAGTAGAAGGCGAAGAACTGAAACATGACAACGCCAACAAAGCCCATGAAGGCGCCAGTGATGCTGCAGCTCACCAGGAGTGCGAATATCAGCTGCCCGATGAGGGTGCCCACCGCGACCCCCTGGAAGCGGCTGAACTTCTTCACGAAGGCGGAGCCTCCGGTTCCGTCGAAGTTCATGATGAACACGGCACAGCCCGCGGGCGTGGAGCTGTAGCCAGTGATGACGCCTGGGACCCCAAGCCGGCCGATGCAGAAGGCCAGGGAGAAGCACATTAGCATCCGCAGGGTGTTGCGGACGTGGTCCCACCTCAGGAGCACCTTGTTGAGCAGGACCGACCGTCCCGGCATTCCTATAGGCCTACCACGACATGTTCTTAGAACCACAAAATATTCTAAGAACAAAAACAATGTTATTAGAACATCAACCCGATGCGGGCCAGAAATGCTCTAAGAACATTCCGTGGAAACCGCAAAAGGTTTTTAGAACATTGTTTGGTAGGCCTACTCCAAATCCCTTATAAATCGTCCCCCGGATCCGGTTTTTTAAGACGCCTTTTATGCAACTGGAAGGTCCGGTTTATTAGGGCGTGTTCCTTGGATTGGAGCTGAAGGGGTCCGGTTTATCAAGGCGCCCCGTCGAGGAGGGGGTCCGGAATGTTAGGTCGCATTTGGAGGGGGTCCGGTTTTTTTCGGGGGGATCGATTCATTAGGGATTTGGAGTAGGCCTATAGGCACGCCAGGACGCTTGCCCACTGCTTGACCTTGGGGTCCCACCAGTCCTGCAAGCCGGCCCCGCTCGCCTCGCTGACGCTGATGCCGCGGGCAGACCTCTCGAGGAGAGCCACGGCCGCGTCGGGCAGCGCGCCTGGATCCTCCTCTCGGGGTCGGCCAAGAGGGGGGCGTCCAAGAGGGGGGGGCGCAGATCGGTTTTCGAACTCACCAAAAAAATGTTGTTGAATTTAAAAGAAAAGGTTTTTGAATTCAACGGCCAGTTTTTGAATTCAAAAACCAATGTTGAAGTCAAAAACTAGATTTTAAAAATTCAAAGGCCAGCGGAATGTGCGCGGCCCAGGGGGAGGGGCCGGGGACGTAATGAAGGAAGAAGAGGCACCATGAAATCTACGGAAATATCATGGCCCACGCCATGAGATCCCCCCCCACCACCAATCATCCCCCGCCTCTTGGCCGCCCCCGATCCTCCGCCCCGCACAGCTTCGGAGCACCGGCCACCTCCAGCATGTACCTCGCATATTCCGCAACGCCCCTGCTGTAGGACTTGATGGAAAGACAGAGCGCGTGGTCGCTCAGCACGCCCGACGGCAGCCTGTCTTCTGCGCAGGCGCCTCCTTCAGAGGAAGAACAGAAAGCATAAGCATAAACTGTCGGAGGTCCGCGCAGAACTCCTCGATCGGCGCTGCAACCCCCTCCCTGGTTCGCGGAGCGCGCCGGGGACGTCGCCAGATGCGCCGCCAAAAGGGGATCCAGCGCCGATCTCAGAAGTCCGCGCGGACCTCCCAAAGCTTATGCTTATGCAGCGTGTTGTTCCCCGATCCTTCGATGCCGAGGAAGGCCGCGGCGAGCTCCTCCTGCGCCCTCTCGAGCTCCGCCACCTCTGCCTGCAAACAGGCGGCCTCCCTGGGATCGAGCTCGCCGCTCACTGCCAGGCGCACCGCGTGTTGCATCACCTGACCAGCCTCGAGCGTACCCCTACTCCTGAGACTGACAAGCCCCAAGACGATAATCTTAGGGATACGCCCTCAAAACAACCGAGGGAATCCTTAAGATCGGCATCGAGCTCGGGTGACGCCAGGCATAGGGATCGGGTTATCAGTTCCGGGCTGGTGATCGCCTGCCAGGCGCAGCCGCTAAGCCGCTGGAGATGCGGCCGCAGGCACCGCAGAGTGGCAGCGTCCGAACTCCTCATGTCGTCTTGCTGGGCCGCCATGGTGGCAGCGTGGAGCCAATCGTGCAGATACCAATACGTCGGGCCCAGCCGCGCCAGGTGCGTGCGGACGCGCCCTGGGCGGCCGAGGTCGAAGCACTCCCACCAGGAACACTGCACGCAGGCCTCGAGGCGGGAGATGGTGCCGCTCAGCCGCCCTGTCGTGCCCGCGATCATCTCGCCCTCCGAGTTGGACAAACCGCTGGTGTAGTGAGACACAGTCTGGTCCCACTGGTGCCCGAGCGCCCAAGCTACCTCCAGCGCCAAGTCCTGCGCCTCTCCGAAAGCCAGCAGCGGGTAGGGAACCAACGAGGTGAAGAGCGACATGCAGCATCCTACCAGTGTGCCGATCAGCGGCGCGACGAGCCCGTCCTTGAAGGCGATTTCGGAGAAGCTGCGGGCGATGTGGGTGGAGCTCTGCGGGTTCAGGAAGGACATGGTGAAGTACGCATTCAGATAGAGCGCCCAGAGTCGGCACAAAACGTTCCAGTTCAATAAGCAGAACAACAATGAGGTGATCGTGAAGTGGGCAACGGCAAAGTAGACAGGAACAAGCGGGCTTAACTCTGTCACGCCGTCTGGGAAGACGGCGAACATTGACAGGCCGCTGATGATCCCGCTGAAGATCCCGACGTACGTGTACCACGAGAACATCACGACGTCCCCGGTCTTCGTGGACCAAGTAAAACAAAAGACAACGACTGCGTGCTGCATGCTCCACCCCTGGTTGGTCAACCAGGTCAGCGACGGAGTCCAGAAGCAAATTGCGCAGAGCCCTACAACCACAGAGGCGCGGAGGGAGGCGTCAGTCAGCTTGGCGAACTTCTGGTTCATGTCTGAGCCGAAGATATAACGCTGGAACACGCCAGGTTCGATCGTCGGCTTGGCGAAGCGAGGGCTGGCGCACGGGTCGCTGGATGTCGCGGACGCGTCTGTTGGTTCCGCCTCCATCTTGTAGCTCCTGCTGCGGTAATAGATGGAGACGGTGACCAAGAACCTTAGCTGCCCCGATACGCAACACGCAGCACGTAGCGTGTTGGCATGAAGCTCAACACGTAACTGAAAACGGAGGTCGGCGAGGTCGGGCGCGATACGCTCGCCAGAACGTGGGCCAACACGTGCCGAGCCAACATTAACACGGATGACTTGACACCGGCAGGTGCTGCGTTTCGGCACGTGCGTATCAGGGCAGCTAGGACAAGCACACGACCAGGAAGGAGAGGCACGGGATGCCCACGCAGATGCCCAGGATGGCAATCTGCTCCTGCTTGCTCGCCGCGGCGGCGGAGGCCTGCGCTGCTGCCTCGTCCGCCGTGGCCGTGACGTTGGGCTTCTTGCTCGGGGGCCGCGCCTTGGTCTTGACCTTGACGGCGCTGCCCGCCACCTGCAGCGTCCGCGGCCTGCTGTGACGGCGCCGGCGGCTGACGAAGACAGGAATGTCCTCCTTCTCCAAGATGACAGCGTCCGCTACGCTCTCGGCCACTGCCACTGCGGCCTCGGCCTCCGCCTGGGCCTCCGTCTTTGTCCTCATGATGCTGCTCACGATCGCCGGCCGCAGAGCCTCAAGCCGGTGGCCGACGTCGGAGGCAAGCTCCGCGGGGCTGGTGAAGGTGATGTCGAGGTCGCCAGGGTTGCCGACGAATCGCTCCTGGTCCCGCTCGGTCTCCTCGGTGCCAACCACGACACTGCCGCCGCGGGACCACGTGCGCTCCTCCTGGAGCTGCCCCGATCTGCGCCCGCTCTGCTGTTCGAAAGCCAGCCGCGTGTCTCGGTGACCGTCACGCCATGCGCGCGCCTCCGCGAAGGTCTGCACGAGTGCAACCCCTTCGTCCCACCCCTGGCCAGAGGAACCGACGCTTGGGCAGGAGGCCACGGCCTGGAATGCCGACAGAGAGGCCAGAGCGAGCTTCAGCAAGACTCCATTAGGAATGCGGCACGTGCTGGCTATGGCAGCACAGCGCCACATGCAGCACGCGGGCCTACATCCGCCGACGTGGAGCGGTACAGTATGAATCGAATATGGACCCCTTCAGCCAAAATTGGCTGTGGAGTGGACAGTGGCCCGACAGCGACTGAAGATGATACGGGCTACCTCAAGGCGGAAGATCATGACGCTTTTAGTGATCGTGCTGCTGAGCGTTCGCGCAAGCCCGCTTGATGGCCCGCTTGCAGTTGTCCAGAGTGCTGGCCCAGCTCAACGGCATGCACGCCGAGCTGCAGGCGACGAGAACGAAGGAGTGAAAGCAACAGCGTAGCAAAGCCCTCGGAAGCGGGAAAAGAGGAGCAGATCGTGCTTAGACGGGGAGGGTGCGCGTCGAGCAGCATCCCTTGACAGCCCTGGTGCTGATTAGATGTAAAGCAGCCAAAAAATTCACGATTATCGAGGGCACAAGCTCAGCCCGCAATTTCTCCTTCAGTGTGGCACGTCTTGAAGTCCGCAGCGATCCGCCACCAAGCGCTTCTCTACATGCACTGACACCCCCCCTCCCGAGGCTCTCTGGGCTGTCAGGCGCCTCCCGGAAACTCTCCAAGGCGTCCGAAATACCCAAGATGGCTTCCAAGATGGCCCAGGCAAGCCGCCAAGGCTACCAAGATGGCCAAGAGGCCCCCAAGATGGCCCAGTATAGCCCCAAGACTGCCCAAGATGGCCTCAGGACTGCCCAAGGGACTCTCAAGACGGCCCAAGAAGGCTCGAAGACCTCCAGCAGGGCCCGAAGAAGCCACAAGATTGGTTGTCCAATGATGATTGTTAAACTGATGTTCGCATTCATACATTTTCGGGTTTCCGTGAGCCCAGGACGGCCCAAGAAATACCCTGAGAGGCGCCCAAAAGGCACCCATCAAGAGGACCGAGGTGTCACACGTGACGGTCTCCCGAGCCCCCTCGGATAATCCGGACCTAGAATGCTGCGCTGGCACGGTGGCGGAATGGCCGGAGGCAGCTGGATAACCTCCAAGATCGCACAAGATGGCGTAGTCCCACCAGCACTTTCGGCGACAGGTGGTCTAAGGGTGATCTCTTTTTCCCGACTATCCTGTGGTGTTGGGTCCTTGCTTTGAAGAGACAGCGCCCCGCGTCCCACTCCTCCTCCTCCCGCGGCCCCCTCCCTCCTCCTCTCATCATCATCATCATCATCATCATCATCATCATCATCATCATCATCATCATCAGCATCATCATCATCATCATCATCATCATCATCATCATCATCATCATCATCATCATCATCGTCATCGTCATCATCATCATCATCATCATCATCACCACCACCACCACCATCCACCATCATCATCATCATCATCATCATCAGCATCAGCATCAGCATCAGCATCAGCATCAGCATCAGCATCAGCATCAGCATCAGCATCATCAGCATCAGCATCAGCATCATCATCATCATCATCATCATCATCATCATCATCATCATCATCATCATCGTCATCATCGTCGTCATTCATCATCATCAACATCATCATCGTCGTCATCGCAAGTTTCAGCACACCCCTCACACGTTTCATGGCCCCGTAGGGTGCTCCGCCAAAGGCCCCAGTGGCAGGGTCCACATGCAATTCCACCCCCATGTCAGCGCACCCCTCACACGCTTCGTGGCCCCTCGCACGTTTCGTGGCCCCATAGGGTGCTCCACCGACGGCCTCAGTGGCAGGGTCCGCGTACAGTTCCACCTCCATTTCGCCGTTCCCCTCGTACGTTCGGTAGCCCCATAGGGTGCTCCACCGAAGGCCCCAAGGGCAGGGTCCGCATGCAATTCCACCCCCAATCCGGCGCACCCCTCACGCGTTTCGTGGCCCCATAGGGTGCTCCACCGAAGGCCCCAGTGGCAGGGTCCGCATGCAGTTCCACTCTCGATTTCGGCGCACCCCTCACACGTCTCGTGGCCCCACATGGAGCTCCGCCAAAAGGCCCTAGTGGCAGCGCCCGCACGCGGTTCCACCCTGCATTTCGGCGCATCCCTCACACGTTTCGGTGGCAACGTCCGCATGGCGTACACGTGGGGGGGGACGCACATCGAGGACCCCCCCTCTTTTGACCGACCACCTCGAAGGTGGCCCCAAGAGGCCCTCCAGGGCGACCAAGAGGCCCCCAAGAGGGTTCCACGAGCGCCGCAAGAGGCCCCAAGAGGGCTCCAATTGGCCCCGGAGAGGCACCAAAGACACCCCTCACGAGGATCGTGGCCCCCGAGGGGGGCAGACATCGAGGACCACCCCTCTTTTGACCGACCGCCTCGAAGATGGCTCCAAGAGGCCCTCCAGGGCTCCCAAGAGGCATCCAAGATAGCCCCAAGAGCGCCCCAAAGGCGCCAAGAGGCCTCCAAGAGGTACCCGAGAGGCATCCAAGAGGCCCCCTGAGGGGCCCCGCAAGAGGGCCAATGAGCTCACCCGAGGCACGCAAGACGCCGTCTCGTCCTCGTCCTCCTCCTCGTCCTTCTCGTCCTCGTCCTCGTCCCCCTCCTCGTCCTCATCCTCGTCGACCTCCTCGTCGTCCTCCTCCTCCTCCTCCTCCTCCTCATCCTCCTCCTCCTCCTCCACCTCCTCCTCATCCTCCTCCTCGTCCTCGTCCTCTCGTTCTCGTCCATTTCCTTCGTCCTCGTCCTCGTCATTTTCCTCCTCCTCCTCCTCCTCCTCCTCTCCTCCTCCTCCTCGTCCTCCTCCTCCTCCTCCCTCCTCCTCCTCCTCCTCCTCCTCCTCCTCCCTCCTCCCTCCTCCTTTTCCCCCCCTCGTCGTCGTCCTCCTCCTCCTCCTCCTCCTCCTCCTCCTCCTTCTCGCCTCATCCACCCCCTCGTCCTCCTCCCCCTCCTCCTCCTCCTCTCCTCTTCCTCCTCCTCCTCCTCCCCTCCTCCTCCTCCTCTCCTCCTCCTCCTCCTCCTCATCCTCCTCCCCCTTCTCCTCCTCCCCCTCCCCCTCCTCACTCTCTTGATCCTCGTCCTCCTCATCCGCGTCCTCCTTCTCCTCGTCTTGTTCCTCTTGCCTCCTCTCGCCTCCTCACTCCTCCTCGTCGTCCTCCTCCTCCTCCTCCTCCTCCTCCTCCTCCTCCTCCTCTTCCTCCTTTTCGACCCCCCACGCGGGCCAGGAGATGGCCCTAACACGCCGTCCAGGCCGGCCTCCCTCGCTGTTTGGCTATGTGTGTCTCTCCCTCTTTTCCCCCGTCAGCTCTCATGGGCATCGTTTCTGGATGGGCTGGGGGGATATGTTTTCCGTCGCGGCCGCAAGCGGAAGCGCAGGCGGCGTCCGAAGTCAGCCCGGGCTACGAGCCAAACCTGATTACCTAAGCGCGCGAACTAAAGGCCGCCGAAACTGCCGCCGAGGAGCGCCGAGGAGCGACGCCGGGGACTGAAGGCAAAGCTGCAAGAGGTGCCAGGTGTGCCAGGCGGCTGAAGTGCAACCATTCCAGGAGCGAGACCACCAGGAAGGCAAACGAATTGTACCTTGTCGCAAAGCACGGCATAGCGTGGGGCTGTGCAAGTAGCCCAGCGTAGGTGTCTGAATAAGAAGGCTAAACCACTCACGAGCAATCCGCATGGAGGTGCATCCCACCATTGCAAGGCGGCAGCAGCAAACACGGCCAGGCTGTGGCGGCGTCTGGGGACCAGGGGCCAGGAACATGCGAGCATGCTGGCTCATGGGGTCTGGGGGCCAGGTGCCAGAGCTGGTGGGGATACTTTTTCGGTCGCGGCCGCGCGACAACGGTCTGGCGGCGAGAGGCAAAGTCCGGGGCATGCGGCACGATGCGAATTTGCGAACACCGCCGCCACGTTGGCAAGCTGGCTCGCGCTGGTGGGGATACGCTTGTTTTTCCCAACCATCCTGTGGTGTTGGGTCCTCGTTTTGAAGAGACAGCGCCCCGCGTTCCCACCTTCCTCCCGCTGCCCCCCTCCCCCCTCCCCCTCCTCCCTCCTCCTCCCTCTCCTCCCTCCTCCCTGCGTTTCACCCACCCATTACAAGGCCCCAGTGGCAGGGTCAGCATGCAGTTCCACCTCCATTTCGGCGCACCCCTTCCACATTTCGTCGCCCCATAGGGTACTCCGCCCAAGGCCCCAGTGGCAGGGTCCGCATGCAGTTCCACCCCCATTTCGGCGCACCCCTGACACGTTTCGTGTCCCCATAGGGTGCCCCGCCCAAGGCCCCAGTGGCAGGGTCCGCATGCAAGTCCACTTCCATTTCAGCACACCCCTCACACGCACCGTAGCTCCATAGGGTGCCCCGCCGAAGGCCCCAGTGGCAGGGTCCGCGTACAGTTCCACCCCCATTTCGGCGCACCCCTCATACATTTCGGGGCCCCATAGGGTGTTCCGTCGAAGGCCCTCGTGACAGGGTCCGCATGCAGTTCCACCCCCACCTCGGCGCACCCCTCACACGTTTCGTGTCCCCATAGGGTGTTCCGCCCAAGGCCCCAGTGGCAGGGTCCGCGTGCAGTTCCACTCTCATGTCGGCGCACCTTCACACGTTTCGTGGCCCCATGGTGTGTTCCGCCGATGACCCCAGTGGCAGGGCCCGCATGCAGTTCCACCCCCATTTCGGCGCACCCCTCACACGCTTCGTGGCCCCATAGGGTGCTCCGCCGAAGGCCCCAGTGGCAAAGTCCGCATGCAGTTCCACCTCCATGTCGGCGCACCTCTCACACGTTTCGTGGCCCATAGGGTGCTCCGCGGAAGGCCCCAAAGGCAGGGTCAGCATGCAGTTCCATCCCCATTTCGGCGCACCCCTCACAGGTTTCGTGGCCCCTTACGGTGCTCCGCTGTAGGCTGCAGTGGCAGGGTCCACATGCAGGTCCACCTCCATGTCGGTGCACTCCTCACACGTTTCGTTACCCCATAGGGTGTTCCATTCAAGGCCCCCGTGGCAAGTCCGCATGCAGCTCCCCCTCCATGTCGGCGCACCCCTCACACGTTTCGTGGCCCCATGGAGTGTTCCACTTAGGGCCCCAGTGGCAGGTTCCGCATGCAGTTC